AAAGTTGTTATACATGAAAACAGTCTTATGAGAAGGCAAAATAGAGTGTAATTAAAGAATCCTCTTTTATTGCAATGTGACATCACATAAAAGTATATTTTGTTGTGTTCCCAAAATAAATAAATAAATAAATAAAAATAAAATTTAGAAAAAAACCCCACATTTTTTCACCTCTTATTTGATCAAATATATATACAGTCCAGTCTTGTCAATTTATGATCCACACAGGTACAGTAGTAATTTCTTCACAATAACATGCCCACATTGTTTGTCCTTTCCCTTCAATATTCTGCATTGGATTTTATTTCCCACTTTGAAAAAAAAATTACACACATAAGTGCAACCAATGCCACTGTGCCCCTTTTGGAATCTTCTACCACTTCTCCCTTTGATGAATATATGTGCCTCTTTTTTACAATTATGTTATGTACGGAGTACTATATATACTCTCCATTTCAAAAAAAAATGTTTATTATTTATAAAATTGAAATGAAAGAGAAAATACTTTCCTTGATTAATTGTGAAGGCTCTATATATAGGGCAACAGACCTCATTTCTCATTTTTTTTGGTTTATTTTTAATTTTTTTTCCTTTTCAATCTCTTTTTTTCTTTTCCTTGGAAAATATTTCTAAATTTCTTTTCTAATTTTTTTTGATAAATCTTTAAAAAAATTAAAATCGTTTGTGTTTGGAATAAAAAAAATTTAGATATACTCCATCTATTTCAAATTAAATATTTTTAATTTTTTCTTTTCTAGAATTAAAAAAAATTGCGAAGTTCAAACAAGAAATTCCGGGAATAAAAAATATGGAAAAAGGAAATGAAAAAAATAGAAACATACAAAAATATTGTTGTACAAACAGAAACCTTTGAAACATTTAAAAAGTCCTTAGAATTGGGATGTCAAAAATGGAAATCCTTTTAAATTTTTTATTTTATTTAATTTTCTATTTTATTTCTAATTTTTTGAGGTTCCCAGAAAAGGCTCTACTTTTTTAATTCGGAAAACAAAAAAAATTAAATTTGAGACAGATGCACTATATGCCACTTCATTTATTTTTTTATTTCAAACACAAACAATTTTGAATGTTAAGAACATTTAAAAAACAAATTTAAAAAGAAATTAAAAACCCACAAATAGAGAAGAAAGGGGACAACAAAAAATAAATGGAAAATGAGAAACGAGCTCTGGTTGTCCCTTGTGGAAAATATTTTTGTTCACACTCACAAAACTTATGTACGTATATATCAAATAATAAAAACTTCACACCAATCACACATAGTAATTTTTATCAGGATGGTTGATATATTTAGGAAAAAGCTATTTGTACACCAAAATTTGTACTCTATTTTATACCCCAAAGGCATGCATCGATATTTTATGCTAGTGTGATGATTTATACTGGCAAAAAATATCTGCAAGTGTGGACTGTTAAAATATCAGTGTATTTTTTTGGGGTAAATTTTTGGCGTATACCTAGCATGGTTGATATATTTATTAACAAAAATAGACAATTTATTCTTTTAGGGTACAACTTGAGCTACATTTTTTGATACAGGAATTTACTTAAATAGCACTATACTAAAACATAATAACTTTCTTTAAATATCACCACATGTTTTTTCTTTCCAATATAGTACTTTTAGTCATTATGCATTAGTCATTATTTAAGTAAATGTTTGCCATCAGTACTGGACATTATATACATTATGAAGTGCTATTTATGGAATAAAACAATTTAAATGCTATTTAGAAAAATGACTTAAGTTTTAGTGCGTGCAAATATTTCTTTTTGATATACTCTGGTTGATATATTTATTGGAGTGAACGAAAAATGGACCGTTCGTCCCATACGTGGACGAGGGATATCCCCTTGGAGAGAAAATCAACCCTACAGGCCACCCTACCTAAGGGCTATTTAGGTGGTTCCTGCTGCCTGCATGCAGGCCATCCACTACATATATCTATACATCTGCATGGCTATAATTATGGAATGATAGGAGCATATCATGTCTCTTTTTCCATAACATTAAAGCAAAGAGAAAGCAAGAAATAGTAACACTCTATAGGGACTACACGCATGCAAAAGGGACACATATATTTATTGAACCATTATATTACTACCTCCGTCCCACTGTCTTTGTCCACTTTTGATTTTTGGAATTGTTCATCTAAGCACTTTGACTCATCAAATTCTCTCAATGTGTAAGCCTAAAAATAGTCATGTGTGATCTTGTTTGATTCGTCTTAACATATAGATTATTAATACTCCCTCCGTCCCATGAAACTTTTCCCCTTTCTTTTTTTATTCGTCCCACAAAACACTTCTCATTTCTATTAAAAAGTCACTTTTACCCCTTACTTTTTCATACCCTAACTATCACATCATACCTTTTTACTAATAATCTATCCATCAAATCATACTTTTACACATCACATCAAAGGACATTTTTGGAAATTCAATACCAAAATACACCCCCTTAAATCCCTCCTAAAAAGCAAATGTCTCATGTTTCATGGGACGGAGGGAGTATATAATTTTTATAATTTTTTAATATACAAATTAAAAGATAAAATGGATTAAAGAAGTACATTGGATGGTGTGCCAAAATTGGTATGTACAGTGGGACGGAGGGAGTATATTCAAGGGGAACACCGGTTTTGGTATCCTTTTTTAAAATATTACAATGTCTCTTACAGAAACATACAGACAGTTTTACACAGTATTGTTTATGTGTGTGTCTGCGAGATATAATAGAATCGGATGCAGTGTATGGTCTTTTAAATACTCCGTATTTATTTTAATCATCGTACAAAGATGACTTTCAAGTTTGCATTGCATCACGAATAATAATCATCGAAAACTTACTCATATAGATAATACGTACAAGTGTCTTCTACGAATGCAGAATATTACAAACTCCGCGGAAATGCGGAAATGAATGATTCGCGCATAATTATCATTTGTAATGTCAAAAATTGAGAGAATTAAATTATGATTCTTAAGTATAGTAATGACACTCTTGAGTTTAGTGCCCTTAGAGAGGGCTGCAAGAGCATTAAGTGTCTTGCACCTAGCTAACTAGCTATACCTTTAACCCAGTGTCACTGTTCTTTCCATGTCAAAGGGGTCAAGTTATTTTGCTTTAGCTACTCCAGTTTCAACTTTGTAGGGTATGTAATATGTAGGGTCGTAGGGTTCTTCCAAGTTTCAACTTTCAACAACAAAAACGTAGGGAATGGGGGGATAAAAGAAAGATCCTAATAACCCTTGTATTTTGTATTATTGAACAAAAACAAAATATCAAATAAAAATGTACTCCATATTAAATACGTTAAATTAAGTTACTTAAAATTTCAAAATAAAATTAATTTATCCTTTCTACTAAAATTTTAAATTCAAATTAACACTTGTATTTCGCACTTGTATTAATATGTACAAGTGCCAAAACACTTTCGCTTTATTTTTTATTTAAAAAATCACATTACCCTTATTTTTTCGTACCCATACTATTACGCCATATTTTTTATTAATAATCTATTCATCACATCTTACTTTTACTCATCACATCAAGGGCAAAATTGTATAGTCAACCACAAATATACATTACTTATTTTCCAAAAAAATCAAAATAGGAATCGTTTTATGAAATAGATGAAGTATATAATTAAGAAATAACAATTATATATTTAAAAAAATTAAATAAAAGATTTTACAAGATAAATGATGATTTGACTATTTTATTTAACGATCAATGTAAATTCATACATAAATAATACTCCGTTTATAATTTGACTTTATAAATAGTGGACAAAACCTTTATTTTAAATTAAGAAAGTATACTTAGCTTTAAATTATAATTTCTTTTTACACTTTGAAATTAATAAATATAATGCAAACATGTGCAGTGTTATCATACATTTTATTTGCTTGACCTAGACTATATATAATTCAATTTATCTTTTCAATTAAACTATATATCTCTGTTAGTCATGACACTCATGAGGAACCTCAGGATTGAATTCAACCTCTTTTACTTAATTTTTTATGAGGAACCTAAAAGGACTGACTACTCAAAAAATTAAAGTATCTTTGATTGTTTAGTTCCTACTATACTATACTACTAATACTAGTAGCTAGCTAGGATATAATAGGTTGCTAGGATCCATCTATAGTTCTGTTTAAGCTTTGGAAAAGGGATATATAGGCATTAAAAGTTTAGCATTATACTACACTATACTTCTTACCATTTAAGGATGCCCTATTGTTCTTATGGCTTAGCAGCTAGGTTGCCTAGGTACTCCTTCATCACAAGCTAACATTCAAAACTAATTACTCCCTCCATATATTATCCCAAATAGATTCTCATTTTACCTTTTTAATTAAAAATCTCATGAAACAATTTTTTTACTTAATTTTTTCTTTTTTTAGGAATAGATATGTAGCTCACAAAATTTATGTCATCTTTGAATAAATTCCAATTATACATTTTTCACTTTTCAATACTTTTGTTGAACTATGTAAAAATCAAATTGCATAAAATAATTTGAGACAAAAGTAGTATAGTAGTTAATTAGTTAAGGAAAAATACTTAATTAGATGATTAAGTATTAGGGCGAATTAATTAATGAAAAATACTTAATTAGGGCTGATGGGGAATAACCCCACACCGGCCTAGGGCTGACATCAGCGTAAATTTCCAAATGCCCGCCAAACTTCTTGCCCGGCTCTGCGCTCCGCTCGTCATTCCTGCCCGGCTCTGCGCTCTGCTCGTCATTCCTGCCCGGCTCTGCGCTCTGCTCGTCCTCCCTGCTCGGCCGACCAAGCCGAGCCCGAGCCCCACGACAATGACATGCGGAAAGTGACGTTCAACGGAGACTTGAGGAAAGCGATAGGATGAAAGGGACAAGACGGGCAGAAAACGACGTTCAACGAAGACTTGGTGAAAGCGATAGGATGAAAGGGACAAGACCTAAGGACAGGTGACGTCCGCTAAACGACGGGCCTCGATCAGAGGGCTTTGACTTAGTGTATTTTACCCCCTATAAAAGGGGTGGCACCCCTCATTGTAATGGGACCGAATTTTGAATTCAAGATACTCCCACTTTGCGCACACACACTCTCTCTCTCTAAAACTTTATATTATTTCATACTCTCGGTGGTTTATAGCCATCAAATTGGTGCTCTCATTGAGAGGAGAGAAACATACTCGTAGGTTAACTCCCGAACGCGAGAATGGTGCAAACAAGGAGCAACGTCCCCACCACCAGCCACGTCGTTGGCGAGGAGAACGCGCCGGGCAGCGGCAACGGCACGGGAGGTATCGGCTCGACTCTAGACGCGGTCCAAGCGCTGTTCGGCTTGGGGGTGACCGCGGAGCAGCTCCAGGCAGCCGTTGCGGCACTTTCCGCTATGGGTGGGAACGCGCCCGGCGCCGGAGGTGGCAAAGCTCCGCCCGGTCTCCATGCCGAACACGCTGCAACTTCCCAACACAAGGGGAAGAAGACCCGTAGGGGCAAAAGGAGGCCCGACAAAGCCCCGGTGTTTGAGGAGGTGATAGTGGAGGACATCCTCGAAGGAGAAGACGATGAGTCCAGCGAGTGCCGGGTGTCGGCCTTCAAGCGCTTAGGAGGTGAAGAGACCCGGGTGTCGGCCTTCGACAGGCTCGACCACGGACCGGGAGGTCACCCGGGCGACCTCCGCCGACAAATAACCGAAGGTAGGCGGAGACATGGTGAGGAGTCCGCGACCTCGGATGCACGCTCGGCCAGGCCCGAGCGGAGCGGAGAAAGACGGGACGAGCGCACCCAGCGTCGCCATAGTCCAACAAGAACTGAGAAGACAAAGGCTTCTGACCAGGGGGTATCTCGGCTCGCTCGTGAGATTGCCGAGCTCAAGCGCCGAGTGGAGACCAGGGCTCCCTACAGCCAGCCCATCTTGCGGACGGTAACCCCGTTCACTCCGAGGGTTATGTCGGTTCCGCT